GCACGTGTGTATACATATATATATATATATATATATATAATATAAATATGTGATTTTAGGCAGTCCTGTATCAGTAGTTCTGCTATAGGGAGGTCGGGAAGCGGTAATGAAGATTTGTATGATGGTATATATGTATATGTGTTGGGTTTAGGGGGGTATCATTTTTGTTGCATGTTAAATTGATATGAAATAATATCCTTAGTCTCCAAAAATAATCCATACGCATCCACTACTTAATGGTTCTGTAATCTATTTTTCATGAAATGAGATCCCGAACATTTCTTTAAAGCGGAGTTGCCCCCCCAGCCAAAAAAAAGGGAAAAAGTCAGCAGCTACAAATTCTGTAGCTACTGACTTTTAGTATTAGAGCACCTATCTGACAAAACCAGGTACCTTGTTGAGTTAGAATATGTAAACCAAACATTTCATATTCCTGCTATGTGCCTGCTATATCATGTACTTGTATGAAAAAGTAACCTGTTCTCTTTGTATTGTTTCCTGTGTGTGAAATCCTTGGTGTTCTTGCCAGTCCCTCTAATTTCCTTTTAAAAACTGACCACAGTGGGCAGAAGAACACGCCATGGTCAGTTTTCTAGCTGTGCTGGAAATGATCAGACTTGTCCTGACATCACCCCCACCCCTGCACTGCCTTTCACTGGGAAGATCAGTATGCTGCTCTTTCTCCTTCCCCAGCATTTATGCAGCAATGAACAGGGAATGTGAAAAAAAACCAAAACATTACATACATTTTTATACACTTTGTTTTCCCTTTTTTATATCTATACACAATGTTTTGCCTTTCATTTCTATTTTAAACAGAATAGGTTGTTTTACAAGGTGAGAGTTTACTAGAAGAGACATTTCTTTTTTTTGAACTAGAATTTAGTGTCATTTTAAAGAATTTAGTGTCATTTTAACCCCTTCATGCCATTTCCTCCCATCTCTTTAAGGGGTTTCTGACGCTGGGAGGCGGTGTTTAGGGTCATGTGACCGCCATGATTGGCTGTTACGGCAGTCACTTAATTGTAAAGGTCCCAATCGCAAGGAGAGATTGGGACCTTTCTGAGGGACACCGACACGTGCTGGGAGCATGCAGGGGTGCGCTCTCAGCACAAGTTTGTTTGCAAATGGTACGCAAATATGTGGCCGCTTGGCATCAAGGCCCGGCTGCCACATATTTGCATACCATTTGCATACCATCGGCGTGAAGCGGTTAAGGAACAGGATTTTTTTTTTTTTTTTTTTATGTTTTGCGCTTTATATTGGAGAGGTTGAGTCAAGTTTTTCTTTATTTTATCTTTTCATTTTTGCGTACATTTGGGTGATATTATACGTCACAAAGTAGCGTTCAAAAGTTATGAAGATAGAGGAACAGTGTGGATTATTGTGAACATTCAAAGATATTCATTATTTATTTATTTCAGGTACTTATATAGTGCTGTCAATTTACGCAGCGCTATACATATATATATTGAACATTCACATCAGTCCCTAACCCTCAAGGAGCGTACAATCTAAGGTCCCTAACTTACATTCATACATACACATATTAGGGCCAATTTAGACAGGATCCAATTAACCTACCAGCATGTCTTTGGAGTGTGGGAGGAAACCGGAGTACCTGGAGGAAACCCACGCAAGCACAGGGAGAACATGCAAACTCCATGCAGGAGGCGCCATGGTTGGGAATTGAACCCATGACCCATTTGCTGCAAGGCCGACATGCTAACCACTAAGCCACTGTGCTGCCCACTCATTTTTGCGCTTGTTTATGATTACCGTATCACAAAATATTGAAAGGGGTGCATTTGATCTTTTCCCCGTCACAGCCGACACATGGGGGTGTTTTTATTTTCATTGTAAGACGGGTGGGTGGTTCATGTTTGGAGTACAGGCTGGCATGTGTTGTGTCTACAGAGATGCAGAAACAGTAGGGTTCTAGTGGAGCTTGGCAGACATGAAAAGACGGCGTGCCAGATTCGCTCTGCCATATTTTTTGCAATACAAATCTGACTCATTTGTACTAAATACCTCTCTGTCAGAGAACACATTTCTTTGCTGCCTTTACAATGCCAGTGATACCACTAAACTACCCTGAAAGACCTGGTTGTAAACATTGGTCAAATAACTGCTTTTCAAACTGCAGCACTTTGTAGTATTTTTCAGCTTTATATGCAGTATACACTTTTAGGAATAATGGGGTTGATTCAGTGTAGCATTTTTGATATGATTGTGGGTGTGCGGATATAGTCGGAAGCTGTGTGCGAAATTCATGAAACCCATGTGACATTTTCATTGTTTGTGTGTGCACCTCTGCACTCCAAAAAACTGGGAAAGCAGCACACTCAAAGGTGTCAGAATACATGAACACCATACATCTTCATGTTATACAAGGTAGTATGTAAACATTCTTCTCAGACTAATTTTGTAACACGCCAACAGATGGCAGCACAAGGCTGCAGGCACAGTCACATGGAGCATCGACCTTCATAAGTCAGTGTGCCAAAATACATAGTCCTATGTACATCAGGAGCTCTGCAACTGGTACAATTTTGACCACATGCATTACCACGTCTATTTCATCATGGACTTCAGAATCATCAGATTTTACCAGCTCCATTTTTTGGGAAAAATTATATAAACCTTACCCTGCCCTTTCTCATCCTAACTATTTAACACACACACACACACACACACACACACACACACACACACACACACACACACACACACACACACACACACACACACACACACACACACACACACACACACACACACACACACACACACACACACACACACACACACACACACACACACACACACACACACACACACACACACACACACACACACACACACACACACACACTTTTTAAAAATTTTTGTACATTCACATCAGTCATTAATCCACAAGGGGCATACAATCTAAGGTAAACTGCCCTAGGGTAAGAGTCTGCCATCATTACCTCTGTCTGCGCAGTCTCAGTGTTGTAGAAAGAAGGAAGTCTTTGCTTTCCTTTATGTGTACCCATGTATTTTCATGTGTCTTGCTGAAAATGAAACTGCTTTTTGTAGGGGATGTCAATAACTGGATTTCCAGCTCTGTACAGAACATCTGGGAAAAGCCATCAAGTTATATGTGCTTTTCTGGGGGAGTGTCATTTTTCTTAAAATGATAAAATTGTATTGTTAATAGCAGAAGAGATCATCTCATAGAGTAAATCAGTAAAAAGAAAATAAGCAATTAGCACAAAGTACAGGCATATTTCTCTGATTTCCAGGCAGTGCTGAGCTGAAAAGATATTTCGATTGGGTAAAAGGTTAGCACTTCTGCCTGGCAGTACTAGGGTTGTTGGTTTGAATCCCAACCATGGCTCCCTGCCTGGAGTTTGCATGTTCTCCTTGTGCTTGTGTGGGTTTCCTCTATGTACTCTGGTTTCCTCCCACACTCCAAAGACATGCTGGTAGGTTAATTGGTTCCTGTGTAAATTGACCCTAGTATGTGTATGTATGAATGTAAGTTAGGGACCTTAGATTGTACGCCCCTTGAGAGTTAGGGAATGATGTGAATATAAAATCTGTATGTAAAGCGCTGCGTAAATTGACGGCGCTAAACAAGTACCTGTAATAAATAAATAATAAAAGGTTGCCTGCCTTATCCTGCTTCTGCACTTTGCTGTTGGCTAGCTCATATAATGTGGTGGGCTGATAAGAATGTAGCTTGTGTCTTTGAACACCAGTAAATACAATAGGGTTGATTTACTAAAACTGGAGAGTGCAAAATCTGGTGCAGCTCTGCATACAAACCAATCAGCTTCTAACTTCAGCTTGTTCAATTAACCTCCCTGGCGGTATTCCCGAGTGTAGATCGGGGTAAAGTTTCAGTACCAAAAGTGGTGACCCCGAGCTACACTCGGGCTTACCATGCAGCGCTTGCTCCGGCATCTGTTCTTCATTTACCTTGTCCTGCGCTCCCACGATGTCCCTCCTGCGGTGTCCCCGGCAATGTAATCCGGCAGATGCCGGCATCTGTCATCTAGGTTACGTCCCCTGCAAGCGTCGGGACGTACGGGGGACGGAACTGGTGGGAAATTTGAAAATGACCAAAAGTGACATTCACTCAATACACTAAAATCACATAGTATAACATTACTGTATCAAACCATTTCACATACATTTTGTCCCGAGTGCTTTGTCCTGTGCCCTGCCTGCATTTGTACTGTTCTTTCTGCCTGGAAACTGAGAAATGTCCATGGCGTCCAGAAAGCGTCCCTTTAGGTCAAAATCGGTTTTAGACCGGCTAGAGAACAGCGATAGTAAATTAGAACCACTTGCAGAATTGAGTGATAATGATTCGTGATCAGACACTGAAAACGATTTTGCGACTTTGCTCAGTGATGTGCAAACTTGGCGCTATATTTCAAATTTCAGTGTTTTTGGTTTGATTATATTATTGAATTAAATTTATTATTATTATATTATTTTTTATGATTATTTATTAAATTATAATTTATGATTTCGTGTTTCAAATTTTATCATACCTGGGATGTTTACTAGACTCTTGTTCGGACATATTTCAGCGAGTTATTCCTAAAAATTACAGGCCTACAATAAAAAAAACTATATATTTCCATGCAAAAAAATGTACCGCTTTGAGCACAGAAATATGGACATAATCAGACCGCTAGGGAGGTTAAGCTTTGGCAATACAACTTGGAAGCTGATTGGTTTCTATGCAGAGCTCCACCAGATTTTGCACTCTTCTGTTGTAGTAAATATTCAAAGGCAACAATATTTTTTTTAAGAAATCTTTTGGTTTTTTTTAACAAGTTTTGAACGTAATTGTTTTAGTTAACCATTATACGTACCCCTTATGACAGTTATGGGTACTTTTTACAAAAAATTTAATTTTTTTTATTAATGAAATAGTGTTTTAGTTCCATCTTTTTATGGCTACCTCTAAAAATGAATAGTTTGCTTTTGTATTTTACCTAGGTCTTCTTGTGGGAACTCTGGATGCAGTTTTAGATTCAACTGCTAAAGTCGCTCCATTCAGAATTCTTCATCAAACCCCTGACTCCCAGGTCTACTGGTCCATTGCTTGTGGTGAGTACATGTCTGCAAAATGTCAGGAAAGGAGTATGAAGGCTATAAAGGCTAGTGGTCTGGCTGATGTGTTGACCCCTGCCCTTATCACCCTGAGTCTTTGGCTCAAATATCATTGACCATGTACAAATATGCAGATGTGGGATTTTGACTTTACTTGCTGTACATTTGTTTCAGGTCAGTGACTTAAAGCCAAACTGCACTGTATCTGAGCACCACCATCCAAAAACACTATTTTAATTCATTTTTGATATTCAAAGCAAACTCCCCCATCCATGTCTGCATACTGTAATTTGCTGAGAAAAAACACCTCTAGCATTTCTGGCTGTGGCCATCTTGAGTAAGGGCAGATGATTCATATAGCATTTATGAATCAGCTTTTCAGGAGGTGCTCTGCTACTTCCAGCAGATCTATTTGATGTGAGATGGAGTGGTCTTTGTCTGCCTGCACCTCCTGCCCTTCCTTCTTCTTTGCCTACACGCCAAGGCCTTGGCTGTCCCGCTTCCTGCAGCTGCTGCCAGCGGACTTGGACTCTCCATGACCAGGCCCTATTGCACCCGGACCCTCGTGCAGTGCCCAATTGGTCAGTCTACTGATAGGGGCTTGGAGCTGCAGCTCCATGAGCCCCTACGTTAATACAGCCCTGGCAAAGGGGTATTTAAATGCCCCCCCCCTCCCAGCCTGGTTCCTTAAGGTGGCTGCCTGTGATGTCTTATGGTAGCGCCTGCTGTGAGTGGCAAGCAGATGCGGATGGCTTACAAAAGCCCAGGCACCAGGACACAATTTCTAGTCACCATGGTGACCTGGCGCCTGGGTTTTGTTGAACCCTGAAGTAACGGAAAATAACTTTTTTATTGAAAGTAACACACAAACATTGGACAGAAAATAAAATCTATATAAAATTTAAAAACATAAATTGAGGCGTTTTTGCATTTAAGTTAATGGGACCTGATTTTGCATTGAAGTCAATGGGACACAATTTTCCATTTAAGTCAATTATCATTATCTGCACCTTTTTTTTCGGCCAATAATTTTCTGCCGCCGATTATATCAGTGCATCACTAACAAAAAGTCCTCTCTTCCAGTGCAGCTGCTACTGCATTTTAAGGGTTAATTACTTGTTTATTTTTTGGGGACATAAGAGCATTTTTTTATATACCTTATTCTCCGCTCCTGCACCAAATGGTGCTCCCCACTGTTCCATCAGTGAACTGTCACTCAGCATCCTCCCATCCATTGCAGGGCTATGGTCCATGCATTGGTCTTGGTGACATAGGACCTAAGCCTGCCGAAGTGCAGGGGGAAGAGGCCATGGGGACTGGTCTAGCAGGATAGAGGAACGTGTGTGAGTAGAGGATAAGGTAAGTAAAACTGCTTTTCTCTGTCTCCTAGGCATAAGCAAGCAGTTAAAGAGGCGCTTCAGTCTCCCCCAAAAATTAAAAGTCAGCAACTACAAATACTGTAGCTACTGACTTTTAATATAAGGACGCTTACCTGTCCCGGTATCCAACGCTGTCCTCACCTGAGCTGATTCTTTAGTGGGCTTTGGGTCCAGATGCTGACAACTAAGGAAAAGAGTCTGTGCAGCCTTGCGCGCTGGACTGTGCATTTTGCATGGTCCCTCAGTCTTCTGGTACCTGCGATGTGTCCGAGAAGGCTGCCAGTGAAGAGGGGTGGACAGGCGATCCAAAGGGGAGTGCTCCCCCCCCCCCCAAAAAAAGTGCTTAATGTTAAAGCGGAAGGGGTGGATGAGACAAACAAGTGGAACTTTCACTTTTGGTGAAGTTTAACCCTTCCAGGCACAGCTCTGTTGCAAGGGAGGATATTTACAGTGAAGGAAATAAGTATTTGATCCCCTGCTGATTTTGAATGTTTTCCCACTCGCAAAGAAATGATCAGTCTAAAAATCAAATGGTAGCAATAAATAATTCAAAAGAATTGCATGTCTAACAAATTATGCACTGATTTGCATGTTCATGAGGGAAATAAGTATTTGATCCCTTTCACAAAACATGACTTAGTACTTGGTGGCAAATCCCTTGTTGGCAATCACAGAGGTCAGATGTTTTCTGTAGTTGGCCACCAGGTTTGCATACATCTCAGGAGGGATTTTGGCCCACTCCTCTTGGCAGATCCTCTCCCAAGTCATTCAGGTTTGGTGGCTGTTGTTTGGTAACTCAAACTTTCAGCCCCTTCCACAGATTTTCAATTGGATTGAGGTCTGGAGACTGGCTAGGCCACTCCAGGACCTTAATGTGCTTCTTCTTGAGCCACTCCTTTGTTGCCTTGGCTGTGTGTTTTGGGTCATTGTCATGCTGGAACACCCATCAATGCCCTGGCTGAGGGAAGAAGGTTCTCACCCAAGATTTGACAGTACATTGCCCCTTCCATTGTCCCTTTGATGCGGTGCAGTTGTCCTGTCCCCTTAGCACAAAAACACCCCCAATGCAGAATGTTTCCACCACCATGTTTGACAGTTGGGATGATGTTCTTGGGGTCATAGCAGCATTCCTCCTCCTCCAAACACGGCGAGTTAAGCTGATGCCAAAGAGCTCGATTGTGGTCTTATCTGACCACAACACTTTCTACCAATCCTCCTCTGCATCATTCAGATGTTCAGTGGCAAGCTTCAGACGGGCCTGGCCATGTGCTTTCTTGAGTAGAGGGACCTTGCGGGCACTGCAGGATTTCAGTCCTTGTCAATATAGTGTGTTACCAGTCGATTTCTTGGTGACTGTGGTCCCAGCTGCCAGGAGATCTTTGACAAGATTCTCACGTGTAGTTCTGGGGTGATTCCTCACTGTTCTCATGATCATTGACACTCCACGAGGTGAGATCTTGCATGGTGCACCAGACCTAAGGAGACTGACAGTTATTTTGTGTTTCTTCCATTTGCGAATGATTGCACCAACTGTTGTCACCTTCTCACCAAGCTGCTTGGCGATAGTTTTGTAGCCCAGTCCAGCCTTCTGTAGATCTACAATCTTGTCCCTGACATCCTTGGACAGCTCTTTGGTCTTTGCCATGGTGGAGAGTTTGGAATTTGATTGTTTGATTGCTCCTGTGGACAGGTGTCTTTATACAGGTAACAAAATGAGATTAGCAGCACTCCCTTTAAGAGGCTGCTTCTAATCTTAGCTTGTTACCTGTATAAAAGACACCTGGTAGCCAGAAATACTGCTGAGTGATAGGGGATCAAATACTTATTTCCCTCATGAACATGCAAATCAGTGCATAATTTGTTAAACATGCATTTCTTTTTAATTTTCTGTTGCTATTCTGTCTCTCAGTGTTACAATACACTTACCATTCGATTTTTAGACTGATCATTTCTTTGTGAGTGGGCAAATATTCAAAATCAGCAGGGGATCAAATACTTAATTCCTTCACTGTAGTTTTCCCAGGATTCAGCTTTAATTATTGCTGAATTGAGTTTTCTTCCTTTGTTATACAACATCAACAGCAAAGATGTCTAATTTTGACTGTCATTTGAAGCTACGTTTGCTTTACTCCCTAACACAGAATATTTTTTGTTCTATGAAGTACACAGCAGACATAGCAGGTTCTGTGTCTGTTGAATAGCTGAGTCACTCTCGGTAAATAGTGGAAAAGCCTTTGCAGCTTTTATACTTTATTAATGTTTGATGCCACGCTGTGCTTCTGTAGCAGGAAGAATTTCACTTCTCTTTAGAAGTAAAATAAATGATACATTCAACAAGGGGAGTGAGACCCTCCAGTAACTTGGAAATTTGGGCAGACCACTAAATGGTAAGTTTTCATGACAGGTTTTCTTTCCATATGGTAGCATTGTAGTATTAAATATGTGACACCTGAAGTGCAAAGATATGGTGATCGGTTAGACACAAACTGGTATTAAGACACATATCTTAACAAGTTTTACTATTAAAACCTTCTGACCACTTTGTTCTGTAACACAGACATGCCCAGTCTAATAAATCTCCCTTGTTTCCAGGAAAAAAAATTGCAATTGAAAGTGCATGTACTGCATAGGGACCATGGCTCTGTTTTTAAAGAGGAACTCCTAGGACTAAATTAACTGAGAGGGAGGGGTGGGATGGCTCAACATTTTTTTTTTTTTTTTTTATTTTTTAGCTGCCCAGAGTTTGAAGGAAATTTAGTCATGAAGTAAACATGGGGGTTGCAATTGCAGATTTTGTTTTCCTGATATGGTGTTTGCTTGAATGTTATTCTACCCTTTGGCTTCAAAACTTAAAACCAAAAATGTATTGTATTGCAGCTTACCAGTCATTAGATGCGATGGCTGCATCAGTTGTCTTTTCTTTGTTTTTTTACCCCTCTGTTTTCACCTGGTGATCTGGCCAGTAACACACCTCCCCTGTTAGTGAGACACCACTTTGGAGGAATGAGCCAGGACACAGCAGACAGCAGCATTGTCAGTCTGGGAAAGGGGGGGTGGTGGTGTTAGTGTTAAACATATTATCAAATTTAAATACAATAACAAATTGAAGCCAAACTCCAGCTCACATTTTATAATCAGTTACAATAAACAGTTTTTTCCTTTTGGGATAAAGGTGTTACATGAATAAAAATCTGACCATTTTAATCACCCCTGTCAGTGGCAAATGGATAGTCTCTTCCATGTAAAGTGATTCTACTGGATAGCTTGAACTTCTGAAAAACAGCAGAGTTTCTGGTTGAATCACCAGATGAAAAAACCAAAGACCAAAAAAAAAAATAATTCCGCCATCACATCTAAGAATTGGCAAGCTGCAATATAATAAATGTTTGCTTTTGCGTACTGCTTTTACCACTTGCCCTCCAGACGGGTTAACATCTGGGGCGATCAAAGGGTTAACGGTGTGCTGTGTGTTGTTTGACTGTGTGTGCTGTGTGTGTGTTTTACTAGAGAAACCACATATTACTGCTGGCAGGAGAGAGACCTGTGTTGTTTTCACACAGGTCTCTCCCCTATCACTGTTTCTTGGCAATCGCCGGGTTCCAGCGGGGAATCTCCGGC